GGCGTGATTTAGAGACACTTTAGCGTATTGTAGTGCGGTGAACTTGCAGAGGAGACTGAGAAATCTCTCCCTTTCTCTATTTTAAAATGTTTAGTGAAAGTGTCTAAGTTGCACTTTTATTTTTTACATTTTGTGTTAATGGGCAACACTACTGTTTATTTTCCAAAGACTATGTGTGTTTTGCTTTTAGAATATACAGGAAGAGATGTTGAAGCAGAAAAAAAAAAAAAGTGAGTATATAAAACTTTGCAGTGCCATCATTATATGTTTTGGGGGATTACTGATAAAGATTTATTCATATTTTACCTGTATAATGAAAAAATGCAGAGGTAAATTGAAGTAACTCCATTAAATTTGTAATCACCATCATCTTTATTAAGGTTAACCCTGTAAATTGTTTTCAGAAAATTGATTTGAACAATATGATAAAAGGAACAGAGATCTGAATGGACAGAATTATTCAAGAAAAGGAGGGAAGTGAATACTGCCAAGAGAAAGATACTGTGCCTTTGAGTGGAAATGTCTTTTATGACTATTTCATATAATTATCCTTAATTATTCCTCCAAATTGCACCAAGATATACAGAACACATTGTCTTCCATCAGCATAAATGACTTGGTGAGGAAATTTTCAATCAATCCTTGATATATTTTATTATGGTTATGCAAGCAGGATGCACTTTTGTTGCAGTTAATGGAGTGTGTGTCCAGAGTGGTCATCCCGTACRCACAGGCACCTAGCACAGTCCATAGCATTTCCTCGCTTCCAGGTCTCACTGCGATGCCTCAACAGGAGTGTCCTTATTATGGAAAGAGTCCATTAWAAGGGCGAGCTCGGTGGTGGTGGCGGCACCGCTGCCAGGCGCTCTGCAGGTTGCTGGGCTGCTCAGGCCCCCGTCGCCCCCAGGCTCCCCGCTCGGCCGCCCAGCACTGGCGCTCGTGCTGGACCAGCCTGGCAGATGGATGGGGAGCTCCCCTGGGCTCCCAGCCGTGAGGGGATTAGAGCCTGTGCTGAGCGCGGCCGCCTTGCTGGGCGCCGGTCCTGCTGCGTCTYCCCTCCCAGCTCTTTCCATCTTAGCCGAGTGCCTCCAGATTGCCTCAGTCCTTCTCCAAATGGATCCAGCTCTGTGTGAGCAGCCCGTGCTCCTGYGCCCGGGGACCCAGAAGGAACCGTGTTCCAGCGGGCATGCACGGCCCCTATTACGGATCGTCGCACCTCGCTCCATCCTGTGCCCTGGCGCGTCACCATGGGGCGGCCTCCCTCTCGCCGCTGGCACCTGCRCCTCGGCTTCTGTGTTTCAGTGATAGATCCCTGCACCACTCACCTTTGTATGAATAAAACYAGCAGCACGAGCATTCGTGAAGATGGTATTAAATTTTGACTCAAAGGCTTTTGTACTTTGTTGCTTAAGGTCAATACATAAGGAAATCTGCACATGAAGATTGAATTAACTAATAGTCTTATAAGTTATGTTTTGATCAAAACTTATTTTTTTAGATAATATAGATTTTTATTTCTTCCCATACTTTTCCCTTTAATGCATTAAATCAAATACTCTGCAACAAGTTATGATAAAGTTGAAATTTTAGATTTCCTGTAATTTTTCTAAAGCAACTCCTTTTCACTTTCCAGAAGGAACAATGGTCCATTAGGGATGCTATAAATAAATATGATTTTCATCTTTCTGTGCCACTAAGTAGGTTTCACTTCAATTCAGAGCAAGCATCTTATGCAAGGCTAGTTAAAGGCCTTTTTTTTTTTTTTTTCAGTGCATACACATTACTGGCATTAAGCTATTGATAATGAAATTCAAAGCCTGTTTTCTTTTGTGAAGGGTGGACAAGGCTTTGTGTGAGCTGTCAGATGACATTAAGAATTTAGTAGCTGATGTAGAAACAGAAGAACAGGCTTCTTTGTCTGTCTATTTTCCTGTGTGCTTCTGACACGTTCTGTTAACTGCTTTAAAGTTTGGTTCGCACCAACCAAGAGTTTAAAAGGTGGTTTTGTGAAATAGTGGAACTAAAATAGTATCTTTTTCTTCAATGTTTTGGTAAGGGCCTACAGTAATATTTCATTCCTACAAATAGGAAATTCATCTCAGGAAAGCATCTCAGTCTTTCAGTCCCGAATAAGAGTCCTGTTCTGCGTTGTTTTGGTGTAYGCATCTGTTCTTGTGAAAGCCTAAATTATTTTGAGGCTTTTCTTGATTTCTCTTTTCTTTTTCACGTTCTAGTCAATCCATTTGAACCCTTTTTAGTCACTTTTATTTCCGATCTTTGTTGCTTCTGAGYGTGACAAGCAAGACTTACCCTATTCTGCTGCTAAATACTGTAAATGACAGTGTGTGGTACATYGAGCTCGTGGTGCTTGGTAACACCTACTATAACATAACACCTTGGTTGTTCAGTCTGATGCCTATGGGACCATAAACTGGGCAGAAAGCAGAGCGACTGTGCTAAGCCTAGTATGTAAAGAAACTCAAATCTTTCTGCTGTATCTTGTGTGTTAGTTCTTGAAGCAACTGTGGTGCTTTGCTGTGTAGTGTAATATTTACCCAGCAGTTGAGGTGTGAAATTTCCCACCATGGTGGAATCCTAATCCGCTTTGGCAGCGCTGTAACAAGCACCAGGAGCGTGAGCATGTGCAGACCTGTTTTGTGACGCCGTGGGGACCTGAGGGGAACGATAATGAGATTGAAGAGGAAAGGGGAGCTCTCATTCAATTTACAACCTTGTTGTTTCGATCCAGAATTCAAACGTGGATGGTGTGGAGGGAGCAAGAATCCTGCTGCACTTGCTCTCTGGTACTTGCAAGTACCACAGAAATGTTGGTATGTTTGTAGTACAGGCAATGACCCATCAGCCCTGATCAGGTGCTGCAGAGTAAACAAATAAACAGAGCAAAGTTATTACCTCCTGAATCTAGGAAAAACTGCTAACTGATCCAGCTAGCTTGGTTAGCACAGAAAATGGCATGTGAAGCCTCTCTGCATTGCATGCTAGCACGGTCCACTGTAATGGCTTGAGGGTGTTGTCTAAACCGGCAGGAAAATTCAGGTGGCTTCTGTTTTCTAAGTGCTTATGTGGAACAAGAAGTTTTCGATTACAAAATAAYAGGGTTGATGTTCAATGTCATTAGCATAAGTGCAGCTTTTTAAGTGGAGTAAATATTTCTTTCCCCTACTAGTGTTTTTCTTAGCGTTKTTACTCTCTCGGGCTTTGACGCAGGTTAAGCTGTTCGTCAGTCTAGTTGGCATTGCAAATCTCTCCCCATCTTGTCCCTTCCTGAAGGTGAGCGGTTCTGCCCTTGCGTCTCCACTGATGCTTCGCTCCCTTTCTGCTGTAAGTAATTGCGTGGACCCAGACATTCAGAGATGACTGATTTTAGAAAGGCTGCTCTGTTCTACTGTCTGTTTAAGTCGGAAATTTCTGCTTGAGCTTTAATCAAAGAGCCTGCTGGCTTTTTTTTTTTCCACAGTTGCATTTTGGAGTGCCGGGGGAATTGGCACTGGGTTTCTGTGTGCTCCCGAGATRCGTGGTATCCCTCTGAGAGGGGTAGAAAGGTTCTTCCAAGCACTGATTTGGGGCTTCTGGATCTCATCCAGCCTTGACCCAGCTTTCTCTAACAGGCTTTATATCCCGCTTCTGTGRGATGCGTTTGATCCATCTCCAGCAGCTTGCTTTTCCTCAGGGTTTGTTTCTGCTTTTCCCGTGGCAAGTATGAGTGAACTAGCTAGACAGTCTCCCTGAATCCTCAGATGGGAYGTTGTGCAGACATTGGTAAGGATGACTTGAGGACGGGTAAAAGGAGGCTGGTCCGCTTCAAGTTTGAGCTTAGGAGCCAAGTGATGGGGCAGTAAGCGGAGACGCGGGTTATGCTGGCGAGTGGYGCAGCACAGTGGGGAGCCAGGAGCCACATGCATGCGCGGGGCCAGCTTCTCCTCGGCTCCACACCAAGCTCCCGTCTGTTCGGGAGCATGTCTTCCTATTTGGCGGCATCCAAAGGGAACCCGGTTTGCGTGCTCTGAAACCACCCTGTGAGCTGAGGCACCGTGTGAGGGAACGCACCCTACGTAATGGTCATGTAGAGGCACCCACGTCAGGCGGCTGGGGGGGAGGCTGCAGAAAAGGGCTGCAGAGAAGGTCAGTGTCTGAGAAGAGTCCCCTGGCAAGGGAGAGCAGCAATAGGGCCGTTACTAACAGCAGAGAAGGGGAGGTGAGTATATCTGAGACCCAGGGGAGGGAGATAAAAAGCCAAATACGTAGGTTGATCAAATAGGCTGCCATCAAGTGAGTCATCCAGCTTGGGATGGGGGGTGGTTAATGAATGCCGACTTGTAGGAGTGTGCTGCAGTATTAGGAGCAGACTGGATTTGAGTCAGTTTGGGAAAGCTGGAAAGAAGGAAGCGTTAGTGATGTAAACCTAAATATGAATAAGTGGTTTAACAGACTGTGCAGACTGCGCTGGGGAAGAACGTGATGSAGGTTAACATGACTAAGAGAAGCATAAAGGTGTGCTGTGGGTTTCAGATGAATCAAGATTAGGTTCAATATAGAAAGTTTTGCAAGGAGAGTGATTTTCCTTGCAGTGGCAAGGCATGGAAGAGAAGGGAGTCTATTAGCAAATCATGAAGTTCTTGTCTAGGTGGTCTTTAGGCTAAGAATATAATCTGGCCTAGTATTGGTATGTTCAGCTCAAGTGGAGTTGGCCATGTATGACTGTGTTTGAAAAGAGCCATGACAGCCAGTTGTTGAAGCCATCACGTTTTGAGTTGACTGCTGCATTTCTTTATTGATGTACAAAGGCACCAGCTTTTCAGGTAGGGGCAAATATTTTTACTGTGAAATAAGTAGATACATAACATACAACRGAAGAAGGAAGAGATGCCTGCTTGAACACTATTTTGTGATGTCCACGTGACCTACACATGTAACAATATTAAATGACTCRGGGAGCATGCCTGGGGATAACATTTTTCTTATTTATATTTCAATTCTAGGTTTACCCTGAATTGCAAATCACCAATGTTGTTGAAGCCAACCAGCCAGTTACAATCCAGAACTGGTGCAAGAGGGGATGGAAGCAGTGCAACGGTCACCCTCATATCGTGGTTCCCTACAGGTGTCTGGGTGAGTGATACAGAGTGCTTTGATCTGCTATCTTTGCTTCTCCTCTTGGAGCCCTTAGCCTCTTTTTGAAGGGGGGGGGGGGGAAAAGTGTAGTTCTCTCCTATCTTTGTGTGACTTTTTTTCTCTGAGATGAGTTTTGTCCATTTTGTTCATCATTTAGAAGTGCGTGAACCTCRATAGCAAATATTCTAGCTGCCTGTCTGATACCGTTTTCACAAGTGATTGCACAGCAGGCTAGTGCATGCTCCCCARTTTTTGTCATTCTCATCTCTTCTATTTCTGTATAGACTTATGCATGTTCTCAATTTATAGTTCTTTTGAAATATCCATCTTTCCCTAGATGTAAGCCATTTTTCTCATTGTTTTCATGGCTAGTTCTTCATATTTTATTGTGGAAGCCAGTAGGAGCCTTTTTTCCTTTTTTAAAAACTTAAGTTTTGTTTTTTTGGAAGCAAGCAAAAGCAATATTTTTATTTTATTTTATTTTATTTTATTTTATTTTATTTTATTTTATTTTATTTTATTTTATTTTATTTTATTTTATTTTATTTTATTTTATTTTA